TTGCTATTTTAACCCTGGGATCTTGCTAGGAGGCACTGTGGATAACAAAACAAAATTGAAAGATCAAAAGCACCAGGGAATACCTTTACCTGTGGCCAGTGGATGGACTAGCTGGGAAGCTTCTTGAGGTCAGGGCTGAATTTATTTCCTTTGTGTCTTTTCCGCCTGGAACCGGGTTTGGATAACCTCACTGGAACTCAGCAGACATTTGCTAAAGTGAATCCCACCCTAGTTGCAGACAGCCCTACCGATGGCCAGGGTGTGCTGGTTTTCCCGCAGGAACGTCAGGTGATGCTCAGTCCAGCAGCCCTGTGGACCCCGGCATTCAGTTCCTGTGTATCTCTGTAAATATCCTTGTCTCTCCCCTTTGCCATATATATATATGATGATGATGGAAAAGGACCCACTCAGTTCCGAATCGCACTAGCCAGCTTGTCCCCTTCTGGTGAGAGGCAAACCAAAGATTGGGGCAAAAATTGTAGCCATTTTGGTGTATCGAACTCAGATGCCAATGCCTCTGTCTCACTGGACAGGACCCCCCGACAATCAGAGACTGTGTTTGGGTTCACTTAGCATCTCCCTACTGAAGAGACCAACTTCATGAAGGAGGTATTCAGGGTGTAGAATGATCCTGGCCAAGGAAGCAATGGAGCCTGTCTGTTTTTCCGAACCATGGAGCCCAGGATCTAGCAAAGCCTGGCCCATAGGAGAAATACAATTATTACTTGTGCAACTGGTAGATAAATGAGCAGAGGCACGGAATGTGTTAATATTTCCAAGTGTGACCTCACTGGCAGTCTTCCCAACTGGATAGGTCGCTCAAGAACTCCCTCTGGAGCAAACTGTATGGCTCCCCAAAGAAGGATAATATCTATACTCTTAATCCCTGCCTTTTCAAAGGGCAGAGCTTCACATTCCTGCCTGCACACCCACATGACACATCCCAAACACAACACAGAGACTGTAATGCAAGAAGGGGAAATTATGAGCTAGAAAGTCTAGAAGAACCACAGCTTAGCTGAAGGGAAGTTTTCACCAGAGGTCTTCAGTATCAACGCAATGGAATATTCCCATGCCTCACCATTTCCTCTAGAAGCTTCCATTACTCCGACATCAATTCATGCCCTCTTGTTGTAAACTCTCAGAGCATCCCATTTCCTCTTTGCAGGTCTTCGTCTACTCGGATTAACTTTGTGTACGTGTATCCGTTTACTTTCATTTGTTTACTCAGTAAGTACTTCTTGAGGGCCAATTAGGTTTCAAGGTTTTGTGCTAGATATTCTGCCAGTGACGATGGGAGAGTCCGGTTATTATCTGTTGCTCTGAGCAGAATGCAGAGTCCGTAAGATCGAAGATCATAACTATGCTTTGGTCATCCCCTGGCATTCCCACTAGCACCTGCTACCCGGCAGGTCCTTGATAAACATGTTGCTGAAACAAAATATGAATGAGTGATCCAGCTGGACGCTGGGGCTGCACAAGTGGTTCAGAAACGGCCCCTGCCTTGCCCTAAAGGGGCTCACAGTCTATGAAGTAGCACTTCCGTGTAAACCACAGCACGCAGCACTGCAGCGACTCACCAAGTGACACTAGAGAGATATGCCATCACTGTGTAACTACGGGTGGTGGCAAACACTTCCCCTCAGTGCCAGTGAGCCCCTGGGAGTCAGCGATCATGTCAAACTCATCTCTGAATCCCCCTACAGCACCTTCCACGGGGCACTGCCCCAGCAGGCACCTTGTAAGCGCTGGCGAACTTGACATTGGAATGGAGTCTGCCCGCCCACTCCAAGCCAGAACCCCCAGGGCTGAATGTAACAATGTTGACCAAAGATGGCAACGAGATACTAGAGTAAGAGTGCAGTTGCCATGTATTGGTTCTTACTCTGTACCAGGCACAATCTAAACACCGTTCCGACACGTCATTTTGTTTCGACAGTGTGCTGAGGGGCTACATTCTCACATCCTCATTCTACAGGATCCGATACTTGCCCAGGTTAAGGCATGTTTGCCAGGGTGACACAGAGGGGCAGTGGCAGACTCAGGATCCTGAACCACGTCGGTCTCTTTTCAGTGTATGACCTGAATCAGGTGAAAATGTTGGTCCTCCACACAAATGCCGGCAGGTCCTTACGCCGGGGGTGATCCCCGGTCCCCTGGTGCCCACCTGCCTTTTCAAGCAGGACCAGTCCAAGTCTCAATACTTGTAAGGGTTTCAACACCTGTCTTGGGTCTTCATCTCTATACGATGTCTGGGTGGTGCTTTTTAAAAATCTTTTTTTTTTTAAAGGTTTCCTTATTTTGGGGAGAGAGAGAGACAGAGTGTGAGCGGGGAGGGGCAGAGAGAGAAAGAGGGAGACACAGAATCCAAGGCAAGGTCCAGGCTCTGAGCTGTCAGCACAGAGCCCGATGCGGGGCTTGAACCCATGAACTGCGAGATCATGACCTGAGCTGAAGACGGAAGGTTAACTGACTGAGCCACCCAGGTGGCCCACCCAGTAGTGGTTTTTAAATGCTTTTATTTGCACAATTGTTTGGCGTTCGTTGTAATACTCTCAGCTCCTTGCTGGAACGTCCATGATCTAATTGTGCACTGAATATGTTATTTTTTTCATTCCTAACAAAGCTACAAAGCTGGGCAGAATCCACCTGGAATTTACATGCAGCCAACGATTCTCATCAAACAGGTAATATTGTGGTTCTGTCGGTGATAGTTGTAACAGATTCTATTAGCACTTGATTAAATGACATTGATAGAAATGCTCCCTATTCTGCAATATACACACCAAAGAAAGAAAAAAGACAGAAAGAAGGAAGGAAAAACCAAAGTCATGTGAGCATTTGGGACAAGTGCTTTCTGTTTCCATGAGGTTACGTTGGGATATCGGTTTTCAAACCTACAAACTGCAAATCCGGAAAAACTGGAGGCTCCTAGACTTTCCCAGTGGCTTTTGTTGTTGTTGTTGTTGTTGTTGTTGTTGTTAGATTTGAAGTTATGAAGTTACTTGATTAAGATTAGAGTTTATGGTATAAATTGAATTAAGGCACAAATATATACAGTTCATTTTGTCTTTTAGCGCTGCCTCATTCTTACTTTCTCCCGTGATAAAGAAAACCATTAGCTCCTGTCAGAACCGCAAGGAAGGAGATCATTTTTATTGAAATAAGAAGGAAATGATAGTGTCAGGCACTGAGTCCGAGAGATAAAATATTACATCTAATAAACATGCTACATATGGGATTCGACAAGGGGTCCTTGAGTTACGGGACAACAGAAGCTTCAGAAAAACAATAACATTAATATTGAAAAATAATGGCTAGTGCTTCCATCTTGGAGAAACCTGCATTTTAATAAACAGGAGGGAAATTCAGGACTCTCTGAGAGAGCATCTTAATGATATCGAGCAGACGGAAAGATCGTCGTAGGTGAAACGGTGGGATGGCCGGCGTGGATGTCCGAGATCTTTGTGAATCCAGGAAACGACGACAATAAAAACAAACCCCAGACTTCGCCGAGAGGCAGGTGGTATTGGAAATATTGGGGTAGCAAGGGGCGGCACAGACAGGGGAGTGCACATTAGGGAGGGTAAGAAGAGTTAATGCAACAGATCCCTAAGGGGCTGTCTGGTGTGACGTGGTGAGATTCCTGGGTCCGTGCTCAGTGGCACAGGGTCATGTCAAATGAGTGATGTCTGCTTTAGGGATGGGCTGAAGGTGGAGGGTGAAGGGACAGGGGCATTGCTGCCATCGCAGGCCCATGTCAGTTCTCAAACTCCCCCCGGGGACCATTCAACAGTGTCTGGAGACGTGAGGCACTGAGGGCGTGGGATGATGCTGAATACCCTGCAGTGTCCAGCGTCCTCCCAGCAACAAAGAATTATCTGGCCCCAAATATCAACAGTGCCATGGTTGACAAAAATCTACCTTTTCCATCTCCCCACCAGGAGTCCCATCTACTTATAACCGGCCCCGCCTCCAGTACGCGCACGGGCATCTTTTCCCTTGACGGTCTCTGATCCTTCCTACCCAGCTTCCGGGAGGGGATGGCGTGGTCCACTCGAGACCTCCTTTGTTTCCTCCCGGGATCTGGCTCTCCACTGGGCTCATCAAGAATGTTTTAAAAAAGAAATCAAGGGTTATTACTCACAATGTCAAAAACTGCAGTAATCAATGCAAAATTGCAACGGCCACCACGAATTGAGTGCCTAGGTGTGTCGGGTGCAGAGGTCAGCGTTTCCCGCAGATGATCTTTGATGAAGCAGACAGACCTGCAATGAAGGTGTCACCGTCCCCAAATCGTAGTGGAGGCATTCACAGAAAAGGGTTGAGCTGGTAAGCCACATAGCCAGGATTCAATATAATGCTGTCCGACCCCAAAGCTTGATCTGTTTTCAGCCAATTCAGAGGTTCTCAGCCTTGGTAGTAAGTACATGTGGACTCATGTAGTATTTTGCTGGGGGTGGTGATGATGCTATTTTATGCATTGTAGAGGATGTTCCCTGGTCCCTTACCCACTAGATGCCAGGAACATTCCTGTCCCAACATGACAACCCAAACTCTCTCCAACCAAAAATGCCTTTGGACCTTGTCAAACATCCCCTGGGGGTTACAGCTGCCTCCAGCGTGCCTTAGGATTTCAGCGCTGGAACAATACAGACGCTATAGAGAGAGCAAATGGTGAATCGGTTGCTATAAAATTAGTCAGAATTAAAAAGAAAAAAAAAATCACTGTTGCCTTCCTCATTCTTTGCCATTCAAAACACATCTGCTTTCTCTGTAACATGCATGGACTTGAGGTTTTCTGCCATTGATTACTTGTTTCCAAGAAAACATTGGGAAAATCCCACATGTGTCAGAGTCAGGCCTTTGTCCTGACTTGGGCAGAGTTACAATTTCTTGTCTTCCGGGCATGGTTGCCTGATGCATTTGAACATGGTAACCATGGCAAAACGTCACCGTTTACTGAGCAGGTACTACGTATGACTAGCCCTGGGCCTCCCTTGACTTCTCCAGGGTCTTGGGACGCGGAGATGCTCACACATGTTTTGGTGCAGTGAAGTCTGGCCAGAAGTTAAGGAACTGGGTTCTCGGTTGTACACCCTGAGAAGGGGAGGACGGTTTACAGTCCAAAGCCCCGGGTTTCTTTGGCCACGCTGTTCTACCTCCAAACTCCTGGTGCCCATGGTATGTACCTGTAGATCTCGCCTGATTCTCTCTGGTTAAAAAATACAATTTTGGAAGCGCCTGGGTGGCTCAGTCAGGTAAGCTCTGACTTCAGCTCAGGTCATGATCTCACGGTCTGTGATTTCGAGCCCCGCGTCGGGCTTTGTGCTGACAGCTCGGAGCCTGGAGCCTGCTTCGGATTCGGTGTCTCCCTCTCTCTCTCTCTCTCTCTCTGACCCTCCCCTGCTCATAGTCTGTCTCTCGCAAAAATAAATAAACTTAAAAAAAATACAATTTTGACCATGGTTAAACTAAGTGATAGATGAGTGAAGATCTTTATCCTTTCCTCTCTACTTTTATGTATGTTTGATGATTCCTGTAAGAAAAAAGAATTTTTAAACACTCCTTTCCATCTCCTTATGAAACATAAACTCATGCATCTCATGCTTGATTTGAATCTGAGTGCCCCAGTCCTGTTTTCCACTTGCCTGACATTTTGAATCCAGACTGGTAAGCTTGGAAAGCTTGCTTGTTTGCTTTCTTTCTTCCTTCTTTCTCTCTCTCTCTTTCTTTCTTTCTTTCTCTCTTTTTTCTCTTTCTTTCTTTCTCTCTTTCTTTTGTCTTTCTTTCTTTCTTTCTTTCTTTCTTTCTTTCTTCTTTTTTCTTTTTTTCCTTTTCTAGAAAAGGTTGAGTCTTAGCGGACCGCTCGGTGCCAGATGCCTCAATGAGCTATAAACTTCTTGAAAGTGAAAATCATCGCCAACCTTGGCCTTTCTGGCCTCTGCCCTTTGTCTCCCCTTGTCTGGGCACAGCTGCTTGGCTCCTGCTGCCCAGGCTTCTCTCTTCCTCACTCCTGATGGCTGCCTTGTCCACCGGGCTGAAGAGCAGACAACGACATAACCAGGAGAAGATTTCAGAGGAGACTCACAGACGTGTTGCCTCACACCCTTCTCATCAGCCCATTATTGAAACTCTGAGCAAAAGAGAGACATGGTGCGGAGTTGGGGGGGAGGAAGGCAGACATTGGCCCCTGAATGTTTCACTGGTGTGTCTGTCCAATGACACAGTTTAGAGTCACCCACAGAAGAAAGGGAAGGGAAGGAGTACTGTGACCTCCTTGGGTACCCGGACCCGGGAAATTGCCCATTTGGCCCCATCAGAATGAAAACAGGAACGCGGGCTTGGAATGTTATACGCAAGTTCTGCTGGTCTACGTCACCACCAGCGAGCTGAACGTAGGCATTGTGACTATAAACCGTATCTTCCTAACCAGACAGCTGTTTGGGGGATTTAAAAGCATTGTTGTTTTTTTAAGCCGCCTTGGGAAGACACCTCCCCCTCTTTCCCTGCTTCCATCCCCCAGACCTTGGCCCGCCCTCCTAAGTGAACACTCGCCCACTCCAGGGTGCCTCGATCCATGATCCTGTTGAGAAGTGTAGCGCTTACACTCTGTCCCGTCGGGTCCTCTGCCAGACTCCAAACGTGATCTTGTCGTCGGTGAATCGGAGGTTCCCTGGGTAAGACGTTACCGTAGTCTGTTGGAGCTGCCACAACAGAGGGCCGCAGACTGGGTGGCTTGTAAGCAACAGAAATTGCTTTCTCTCAGCGCCAGAGGCTAGAGCATCAGGGATCAGCATGGTCAGGTTCTGTGGGATCCTCTTCCGGGCTATAGACTGCTTACTTTTCTCTATCTTCACATGGCGGAAAGATGGCCGGGGAGCTCCCTGAGGTCATTTTCACATGGGTGATGATCCCACTCATGAGAACTGCACCTCCCAAAGGGCCCACCAACAAATACCATCGCGCTGGGGATTAGGATGTCCACATATGAATGGGGGGGGGGCACAGATAGTCAGGTTATTGCAGCCATATTCTGGGGAGCTCTCCAAATCATCTTCTTCATGTATTATTTCAAACCTATCCCTTGTTCCTATTGTGTATCCAATGTCATGCTAAGCACTGCAGGGACAGAAAGAACTCTTGCCATTATGACAACTACCACTAGATGTGATCACAGTAGTGACTTGAAAGCCTGGTGATCCAAGTGAGTGGGGTCGGTAGGAAGGCTGCAGGAAGCACCAGAAGGTAGAACACAGTACGGTCAACAACCAAAGGCAGGAGAGGAAGAAGGGGGCCCAGAAATGACCTGTTGGGGAAAAGCTGAGTGGGGTCTTAAGGTGGGAACGAGTTATCAGAGGGGCGTGGACAGGGGAGAAACACTCTGGGGGGAGGAGTGATGGGAGTGGTGGGATGGGAGCCAGCGTTATGGTCCAGGACTTGCAGGGAGTTTCAAACAGTTAACAGGAAGATAGGGAGAGGGACAATTGGAACAGGAACTGGAAGAGGCTCAAACCCTTCTCCATAGCCCAGACCCCGAAGGGCTATAGGAAGCCATGGAAAGCACAAACTGCAGAAGGGATAGGCCTATATTGGGTGTGGTCTTTGTTTTTAACAACTTTATTAAGGTCTAATGGACATTCAAACTGTACATTTTTCTAGGGGTGCAATTTGATGAGTTTGGACATTCTCCATGACGCCATCACTGCAATCAAGGTAATGGACGTATCCTCACTCTGACTCCCCGAAATGGCGTCTCCCTCCCACCTACCTCTGGGCTCCACCCCCTGGTGAGCACGGATGCACTTTCCATCACCAGATCAATTTACTCTTTGGTATTTGTCTTCTTGCACTTGCCATATTTATCTCCAGATTCATCCATGGTGTTGAACATCAGTAGTTCATCTCTTTCCATTTCTCTCTTTAAAAAATATGTATTCAGTTTTGAGAGAGAAAGAGAGAGAGAGAGAGAGAGAGAGAGAGAGAGAGAGAGAGAGAATGCACACAAGTAGAGGAGAGGCCAAGAGAGAGGGAGAGGGAGACAGAGAATCCCAAGCAGGCTCCATGCCGTCAGTGTAGAGCCCACTGTGGGGATCGAAACCAAGGAACATGAGATCATGACCTTAACTGACGTCAAAAGTCAGATGCTTAACTGACTGCGCCACCCAGGTGCCCCTTTGCATTTCTGAGTAGGAATCCATTTGTATGGACATACCACAGTGTGTATCTAGTCACTGACTGATGGACATTGGAGTTGTTTCCAGGTTTTAACTGTGAAAAATAAAGCTGCCCTATGCACTTCTCAAATCTCTGTATGTACATATGTTTTTCTTTCTCTTGGGTAAACATATGTCTCAGTCATATGATAGGTATATATTTAACCTTTGAAGAAACTGCCCGACCATTTTCCAAAATGGTGGCACCCTTGCATAGTCCGCTGGCAGTGTCTGAGGGGTCCAGTTGCCCCACATTTTCTTCAATACTTGGTGTGATCAGCCTTGTCAGTTTTAACCACTATGGAGTGTAGAAGAATCTCTCTGGCTGTTGTTAAGACTTTTCTCTTCATAACTGATGTTAGGCAATATGTTTATGATGGGCCTTGATATGGTTTTGTCATATTTCTTATGTTTGGGGTTTGTTGGGCCTTTTGGATCTGGGGGCTTATAGTTTTCATCAAATCTGAAGACCATTATTCTTTCGGATATTTCTCTAGGCCCTTATGGTAGGCAGCCTCTAAGTTGGACCCCAAAAAGCACTATCTCCTGATAGTCACATTCTCGTGTGGTCTCTCCCCAAGCTCTGCCACAGACTGGTACAATATGGCAGATGGGATGGGATGTCGTTTCCAAGATTAACTTACAGGATACACTGATTTCTGATTTGCTCCCTCTTTCTCTGATCTGGCGGAAGTGAGGGGCCACGTTGTGAGGACACTCAAGCATGTGAAAGGGAGGCTTGCGTGGAGAGTGACTGAGGCGGCCAGCCACCGCATGAGCGAGCCGTCAGCAAACCCTACCTCAGTGGAGGCTTCAGATGCCTAAGGCTTGAACACAATTTCACAAGAGAACCTGGGCCTGAACCATCCAGTTAAAATACGCCTGGATTCCTGACCCTCAGAAACTCTATGAGCTAATAAATGTCTTTTTAAGCTAACTTTTTGGAGTCACTGCTTATGCAATTCTAAAGTCCTGACACCATGTCCCTCCCTTTCTTCTCTCTCCTTGCACACGTGTTAGGCTGATGAAGCTGGTCCACAGCTCACTGATGGTCGCCGCATCCCCCCACCCCCAAGCCAACCTTGTTTCTCTGCCTTCTATTTTGGAAACGATCAATGAGCTTGATTTCAAGTTTAGTAATATTTCCTTCTGCACTATCTAATCTCTTACTTAATCCCTTTCACTGTGTTTGCTAGTTTAGACCTTGTGGTTTCCACATCATCCTCTTAAAACTTAAATCACTTTATTGAGGTGTGATTGACATACAAAAAGCCGTACCTACATATGTAATCTAGACAAGGTGATGAGCTTGGAGATAAGTAGGCATCTGTGAAGCTAGCATCACAATCCGTTCCATAAACCTATCCTTCACCTCCGAGGACTTCCTCTCATCCTATTTATTTATTTATTTATTATTTGTGATAAGAATGCTTAACATAAAATCTACCCTCTTAGCAAAGTTCTACGAGTGCAATACGGTAGGTCTTATTACCTGTAGGCATATGCTGTATGCTAGATCTCTAGGACTGGTTCATCTAGCATAACAGAAACACGTGCTGTGATTTAAAGGGTGCACAGATGCTGTGGCTTTCACCTCTAAGAATCTGATTTTTTTTTAATATTTCTATGTCTCCACTTAACTTTCTCAATGTAAGAAATGTAATCATAAGTGTTTAGTATCCTTGCCTACTAATTCTGTAATATATGTATAGTGTATGGATAGATTTCCAGGTCAATTCTGATTAATTTTTCTCCCCATCATCACTTATATTTTTCTGTTTCCTCGCATGCCTGGTCATTTTTTATTGCGTGCCAGACATCGTGGATTTAGCCCTATTAGGTGTTGAGTATCTCTCTATCTGAATAACTCCTTATGGACATTATTCTAGGATCTGGTTATGTGACCTGAAAAAAGCGTGGGTCTTTGTACCTTCTTTAAATGTTATTAGGTGGGTCCAGTGCAGTGTTTAGTCCAGAGCTCATTCCCCCCACTACTGGGGTAAAACTGTTCTGAATATTCTACCTGATACTCTGAATTACGAGTTTTCCACTCTGGTGTATGGGAACCAAAGCTATTTCTGGTAAGCTCCAAGGACTGATTCCTCCAGTCCTTTCCAGTGGCTCTTTCTCCAGCCTTGGGTATAACAATCAGCACTTTGCTTGAGACTAGAGGGAGATCTGGGGCACCTGAGTGGCTCAATCGGTTGAGCGTCCGACTTCGGCTCAGGTCACGATCTCGCGGTCCGTGCGTTCCAGCCCCGCGTCGGGCTCTGGGCTGACAGCTCGGAGCCTGGAGCCCGCTTCAGATTCTGTGTCTCCCTCTGTCTGCTCCTCTGCTACTTGCACTCTGTCTCTCGCATTGTCTCAAAGATAAATAAACATTAAAAAGTAAATTAAAAAAAAGACTAGAGGGAGATCCTTCTCAGCTCTCCCCTTCAGGTGTCCTGCAAACTCTGGCAGTCGTGTTCCCCTGGCCTCCCAGCTTCATTGTTTCCACTGACCTGGACGTGAGACTACGGGTTCTGTCTCAGTGTCCCCATTTCCTGAAAGCGTAAGCAGTAAGCTGGGGGGAAATTACAGGGTTCGCTTTATTTATTGACCATATCTCAAGGATGCCTGCTTTTTTGCTCTGTGCTTAAAACTGTTGTCTCCTATCTTTTATCTGTTCAGGAGAGAATAAATGCTCTCCTTGTTATTCCTTGTTGGAAATGGAAGCATTTCTATGTGCTCTTTGAAAGATCTCTGACTGCTGTATGCAGTAGGGTCTGGGATGGTTAGGGGAGAGGCTGCACATCCTCTCGGAGACCACTGAAATGTCTTTGCAGGGATTGCAAGGGTTTGCGTTAGGCTGGGAAAATCAGAACGGGGGAGAGGGAAGGGAATTTGGAAACGTAAGGAAGACAGAACTTCTTCTGTGACCGAAGGTGAACGGTGAGTGAGAAGTGAAAAGTGATTTCCAGTTTTCTGACCTGATTGACCTGGTGAATCATTGCCAGCTTCTCAAGGAACTCTTCAGATGCCTCCTTGGGACACGCGATGTACTACACTATTTTCCCGATCTGCTTCCTGATTGTGCCATAGAATATGGTAGGAAAATGTTTAAGAAAAAATGCTTTGGAATGTGGAAAAGATGTAAAGTCCTAAAAGGAATATGAAAATAAGTGACTATTATCTAAAGTGGAAAAAAATGCACTTTAACAATGGAGCTAATCAGTACAGTCCCCTCCAAGGCTGAACAAGAATCTTTCTGTTTCTAGATAACCACTTCATCTTTACCATTGTTAGGATTTTTTTTATTACATATTTCATGTTCCTCTGCTATTATTTCTTCCAGAGACTTAATCTTATTTAAATTAAAAAATCACACACCTTATTAATTAAAATACCAGTTGAAAGCAATTGATAACACACGCAAGAGAAAGCAAACATCTTTTCTATAAATATTTCTCCTGATTCTTTAGGTGCTTATTATTTAAGCTTTGGTAAAGCACCTTATGCTCTAATCCAACCTGTAATTAATAACAACCACTTACATGTGTACAACAATTCATAGATTAGGAAGCCCGCTTTTACCCGTTGTTTAATTTCATCTTTCTCACCATCTTACGAAGGGGGAAGGGGAAGGATTAGTCGGCCCCCACATTGCAGAGGAGGAAACCAAGCCCGCAAGAGAGGAGACGCTTCGCCCAGGGTCACGCAATTGGCAGCTGGCAACATCTGATTCAGTGGTTCTACCATTTCCTCATGCCTTCGGCTTTCCTCGCAACTGAAGAATAAAGCAATTTCAGGGTTTTATTCCAAGTGGGATCTAGCTCCTGACATAATTCTAAGCTGTTGAAACAGGGGAGTAGCATCTCTAACAACAGGATGGTTCAGGGAAGGAAAACACCGCTTCTTTCGGAGTCTGTGAATGACAGCTTGATGGCTCTATCAATACAACTTCAAAACCGGAGAGAGGAGAGTCAAACCCGCTTGTCTTACCAGCTATTTGGTGTCATGCGAGGCAAATGAGAAAGAATACCTCTCAGTCGTTCTTGAAGTGAATTAATCTTTTGGTGTAGAAATCAGTCGATCTTAGTTTCGAGTCTACAAAATACCGTAGTGTTACGTGAAATAGCAGGGCGATGCCTTTCTCTTGCTTTTAATGTCTATCTTCGATGAACTCTCTCTTGTATGTTCCCAGACAGTGTCTGCCATCAGCCCACCTGGATGAAGATTTTGGATTCAGACTCAGGCCTGGAGCAAACTCTAGGTGCTCTCAGAAGGCTTTAGCTTTCGTGCCACAGAGAACTCTCCCTCCTCTGGACTCCGTCCTCAAGACCGTGGGCCTACAGTCCATCCGAATTTCCCCCAAGCAGGTTCTCACGGGGCCGGCATCCGCTTTGTTCTTCATCAGAGATGCTTTGTGGCACAGTAACCAGACTGTGAATTTCGAATCTAATGGGCAGGGTTTGGAGTGACACCCTGGAATCAGTAGTTGCCAGCTGGATGACTCCGGGCACATTATTTAACCTCTCTGGGTGTCAGTCACTTTCTCATGGGGGCGCCTGGGTGGCTCAGTGGGTTGAGCGTCCGACTTCGGCTCAGGTCATGATCTCGCGGTCCGTGAGTTCGAGCCCCGCATCAGGCTCTGTGCTGACAGCTCAGAGCCTGGAGCCTGCTTCAGATTCTGTGTCTCCCTCTCTCTCTGCCCCTCCCCTGTTCATGCTCTCTCTCTCTCTTTCAAAAAATGAATGAACATTAAAATTTTTTTTAAAAAATTAAAAAAAAAAAAAAAAAAATGCCAATAACCATGAAATGAGAGGTTGTGTGTATAACTCAAATTCCAAGGCCTCGTATGATGCTGTCTCAGCATAGTGTTACATTCAGGCAAATCTCAGCAACTAAAAGGTACCAGAAAGTTCTTCCTATCTTATCTATCCTCTTAAGGAAATGTCAAAGAGAGAAGGAACAATACGGAACCAATATACATCAGGTACCTAAAAATTCCACGTCTTCCATCAACGTCACATTTTCGATGCCCCAATAGCTAGTTCCCAACATTTCTACTCTTCTGTTTGCAATTCCAAACATCACCCACACATCATGCACATCATGCCTGAATCTCTTCTCCATCCGCTCTCTTAGCTCTGTCACGTGATCATTTCTGGCTTTTTTTTTTCCATATTCTCTCTTCTTGTCTGGTTCCCAAATTCTTTACCACCGAAGAGAGTCCTTGAAATAACTTAGTGCACAGGGACATTCTCCTTTGGAAGTCAGGGGAGTGGGTAAGATGGTCATTAATCATTCATCAACAATTTTGCTCAGAGAATACACTAAGTTTGTACTCAATGTGGTAAACACCGGGCACAATGCCTAGTCCATAGGTGAAACTCAATATTGTACGCGTCATTTTTTTAAATAGTATTTAAAAAAAAATTTTTTTTCAACGTTTTTTATTTATTTTTGGGACAGAGAGAGACAAAGCATGAACGGGGGAGGGGCAGAGAGAGAGGGAGACACAGAATCGGAAACAGGCTCCAGGCTCTGAGCCATCAGCCCAGAGCCCGACGCGGGGCTCGAACTCACAGACCGTGAGATCGTGACCTGGCTGAAGTCGGACGCTCAACCGACTGCGCCACCCAGGTGCCCCTAAATAGTATTTTTAAAGTTTATTGGGTTGCCTGGGTGGCTCAGTCCATTAACCATCTGACTCTTGGTTTTGGCTCAGGTCATGATCTCACGGTTTGTGGGTTCAAGCCCCGCATCAGGCTCTGTGCCAATGGGGCAGAGCCTGCTTGGGATGCTCTCTCTCTCCCTCTCTCTGCACCTCCCCTGCTCGCACACTCTCTGTCTCTCAATTTAGTGACATTTAAAAATAATAACATTTATTTATTTATTTTTGAGAGAGAGAAAGGGAGAGCATGAGCAGGGAAGGGGCAGAGAGAGGGAGGGAGGGAGAGAATCCAAAGCAAGGCCCATGCGGTCAGTGCAGAGCCCTATGTGGGGCTCAGTCTCACGAACTATGAGATCATGATCTCAGTCGAAACTAACAATTAGACTCTTAACCGACTCAACCACCCAGGTCCCCGTACATGTCATTGTTTTAACCCAGCCTCAGACAGACTTTTGTGTATCTGCCCCATCTCTCCACATAGACCGTAAGCCTCTGGAAATCTAGGACCAAATTCTTAGAACTGAGAACCTTCCTCTGACGAGTGTAGGTAGTCTCTAGATGGGTCATTCTCTCAGCATAATACAGTGTTCCTACTACATGTCAAAAAAATACTGGGCTTGACTCCCAGGACTTAATATGAAGAAGGCACATTCACATTCAGCTGATCTGCTTTCAAGGGTGTTACAGGCTAATGAAAGGGATCCGGGCCAAAAAAAGAAAAAAAAAGAGAAAAAAAAAGAAAAAGCATAGTTTTTAAGAGGCTCTAGGTAGATTTCTACCAATGACTCCTACCAGATTGGTGTGGCCGTCCTCAGCTGCCATGGGACTGGCTGATAATGGCTCACAGCTTCGTGTTTCTCCAGGAAATTATCATGACCAATGGACTTGTCCTGCCCGGTGATGCCTATGGGATTAGACCTCCTGTCACCTGTGAATCAGGACGTGGTCTACAGCTAATGAGTAGCTGATTGGGGGCATAAAAGCCCAGCCCCTGACTTCACAGTGGGATAACTCACGCTCCAGAGCTCCTCATGGAATCAGTGTGAGAGCGGACTTCAGCTGAAACCAGATCTTCCCTGAAGTACCTTGTGCCCTGCCCCTTCCTGTATAGGAATTACCTGGGAGCTCTCCCTCAATAGATTACCTACAAAAGAATGTCCTTTCAGGCGTTGCAGCTCAGACACCTGGCTTAAGACACAGTGTTACAGAGCACCTGGGTGGCTCAGTGGGTTACAAACCGACTTCAGCTCAGTCGTGATCTTACAGTTCATGGGTTCAAGCCCCATGCCGGGGTCTGCTTCGAATTTTGTGCCTCCCTTTCTCTCTGCCCCTCCCCTGCTTGTGCTCTCTGACCCTCCCACCCCCTCTCTTTCTCTCTCTCTTCCTCTCAAAAATGAATAAACATTAAAAAAAAGACACAGTGTTACAATACAGCTCAATGCATGGTGGGCAGGGAAGAGAGAGGACGACTCCTTAAGACTCCAGGAACGCGGCACTGAGCAGGGCCACTTAGCATTTCCTTTTGAAGGACACAGGGTCCTTTTGGTAGGCGAGGGATGATGTATGTAGAGTACCTACCAAGACCACACATACCATCGCTGCTCCAGATTAATTTACACTCCTCCTTTCTCAATGTAGGCAAACAAACTACAGCAGCAAAGCCATCAGAGAGCAAAAGAGCGTGCCGTTCTCAGACGACACTGAAAACTCTCATCGCCCGGAGTTCGAGGAGCTGGTGAGGGCTTGAAGGAGAGTCAGATCCCTAAGGGATCTCTGCTCAGCGCTTTTCCTTATATATGCGGCAAGCCAGAAGAGGTTTTAAATTTTTTTTTTCAACGTTTATTTATTTTTGGGACAGAGAGAGACAGAGCATGAACGGGGGAGGGGCAGAGAGAGAGGAAGACACAGAATCGGAAACAGGCTCCAGGCTCCGAGCCATCAGCCCAGAGCCCGACGCGGGGCTCGAACTCACGGACCGTGAGATCGTGACCTGGCTGAAGTCAGACGCTTAACCGACTGCACCACCCAGGCGCCCCAAGAAGAGGTTTTAAATCAAGAGGACAATACCGGGTCCGCGCTTGAAACAATATTCTGGCGGTGGTGGGTTGGATGGACTGGACGGTCATTGAAACAGTCAAGACAAAAGGAGCTTGAGAGACGGAGATAGATGATCACTTAGCAGGATCAAGGTTTGGGAGTTGAGGATGTGTTCAAGGGGTTCTTAGAAGAATTACTCCTCAGCACGAAGGGACCAATGGAGAGGGAGCAAGGAGCCATCGTAATACTGGATGAAAATTTTCTGGTATCTGACGTTAATCAACTAGTAAACTGAATGAGGATCATTCCATTAACTCTGTTGGCAAAAAGACAATCGTAATGAAGAATACCACCCAAGGAAGACGTATGTCATCCTCTTACTTGAAACCTTCCTGTGACTTAGGACATCACCGCTGTATTTAAAAGAACGCGCTACTGGGAGCCCTCGCCGAAGATCAACATTCATTAGCAACCCTACAATAACAGCCCACAAGTGTGAAGACCGCCTGTAATTGAGGAAGACGATTTCGGTGAGGAACCAGACTCTCATTTCCAACTCTCACAAGGTTGTCACGACGGCCAGAGAATGAAAACACTTTTATGTTTCAAATTTACGAAAGAGCCCTCACCACCACCACCACCGTCATCACCCATCAGTCCATCCAGGAAAGCACCTGCAGCTGAGTTCATCTCTTCTTTGAACTTCAAGACAAACGGGTAGCCAGGGACAAAGGTGATGGGGGAAGGGGGCGGATTCTGATGATTTCTTTGCAAAACGCAAATGAAAAATAAGCTTTCAGAGATTTATTTTTTTTTAATACGGGAGTTGCATTAGACTTACCTTCCTGCCATTGTTGTGTGTGAATGTGTGTGTCCGTGCCGGCTGAACTCGGGGTGTGTGAGTGTGGTCTGACCTGTGTGTACCCCTGTGTGTGTGTGTGTGTGTGTGTGTGTGTGTGTGTGTATCTGACACTGCTGGGGTTAAGCCCTGTTGTCAGATACATTGTAGTTTGTTTTGTTTTGAGCAGTTACTATGTCTCCAGGCACTTTGTTTCCTTTGCCTTTGTAAGAACCCTGCTGGATAGGTATTAGAAAGACATTTTCAAGATGGGATAGAAAGACATTTTCAAGATGGGAAAAGTAAGCCTCAGAAACATCAGGTGACTCACTCAAGATCACTGAGCTAACGACAGAACAGACAGCAGCCGGGCTGGGTCAGGGTGGGATACAGGCTCGGGACAGCCCGGTGCCTTGTGAAGGCTCACACGTCTAGCAAGTGATGACACAGCCAGGACCAAGCTCATGCCTCTCGCCTGCTACATGATCTCATCTCCCACACACCACGGTGGAGGGAGGCTATCAGATGGTACGGCGTCCCCAAACTTGTCTGCACTTCGGGATTACCTGGGGAGTTTCCCCAAACACTGATGCCTCCATGCCACCCCCAGACATGATGAATTCATTGGTCCGGGGTACGGCTTACGCTTTGGAAATTTTCCAAGCTTCCCCTTAGGTGGTTCTCAGGTGTAGATAAGCTTGGGGACCACTGATCTGGTAGTAAAGAGTAATTTTCCGAAGCCATACTGACCAGTGTTCAAATCCCAGGCTGTAGCTTGCTAGAATCTTTGGGCAAATCCTTGTGTGAACCTTGGACAAGAGGCTTGATGTCTCTATGCCTCAGTTTCCCTGTAATACAATTTCCCTGTAATAGAATTGTGGAGATGAAATGAGTTAATAGCTATAAAGAGCTTGGAATGGGACCCTGGTTTCTATGTCTAGGTGTCCAGGAGGAACAACGTGCCAAAAAGACCGGCATCCAGAGGAA